TTATCTCTTATTTTGCTCTCCTCTATTCTTCCCCGTACGCAACCTTCATGTTCCCATATGTCTTCCTCACCCCTCCTCTTCTCCCATTCTCATTCTCCTAGCTCCCTCTCCCCTTCCCCCATGCTCCCAATTTTCTCAGGATATCTTGTCCCTTTCCCCTTCTCCAGGGGACAATGTATATCTCTCTGAGAGTCCTCCTTGTTGCCTAGCTTCTCTGGTGGTGTGGATTGTAGGCTGGTAATCCTTTGCTCTATGTGTGAAAACCATATATGAGTGAGTGCATACCATGTTTGTCTTTTTGTGACTGGGTTACCTCGCTCAGAATAGTTTCTTCTAGTTCCATTCATTTGCCTGTGAATTTCAAGATTCCATTGTTTTCTTTTCCACTGAGCAGTACTCCATTGTATAAATGTACCACATTTTCTCTATCCATTCTTCAGTTGAGGGGCATCTAGGTTGCTTCCAGGTCCTGGCTATTACAAATAATGCTGCTGTGAACATAGTTGAACAGATATCCTTGTTGTATGAATGTGCTTCTTTTGGGTATATACCTAAGAGTGGAATTGCTGGATCTTGTGGTAGACTAATTCCCATTTTCCTGAGGAATCGCCATACTGATTTCCAAAGTGGCTATACGAGTTGACACTCCCACCAGCAGTGGAAGAGTGTTCCCTTTTCTCCACATCCTCTCCAGCACAAACTGTCATTGGTGTTTTTGATTTTAGCCATTCTGACAGGAGTCAGATGTTAGCTCAGAATTTTTTTTTTGATTTGCATTTCCCTGATAGCTAAGGATGTTGAGCACTTTCTTATATGCCTTTCAGCCATTTTAGATTCCTGTATTGACAATTCTCTATTTAGTTTTGTACCCCAATTTTTAATTGGATTATTTGGTGTTTTGGAAACTAGCTTCTTGAGTTCTTTGTAAATTTTGAAGCTCAAAGAAAAACTTAGCAGCTATGGACCATATCTAGTACAATATTTTGTGTCTGAGGCATCATCAGCTGTGGGACAGCTGTGCTTCTGGCTGCCTGTTTCCCTACCCATTTCGTCTCTATGTCCCTACACATTTTCTTTACCTCATCCTCCCCAGTAGCTCTTTCCTCACTGCCTTGGTTTGTAGTCTCTCCACTTGCTTCTCCACTCTACCTAAGGATGGTATCCAAAGAGAACATCTAGAATCCTTTGCATTTCCTAACCTTTGACCCTAACCTTTTACATACTCTGGATTCTTAGTCTCATGAATCTCACTGCTATGTTTTCTCATGTCTGTGTCCCCATTGGCATTATTGATGCCCGAAGGCTTGCCTCCTCCCCATTGTGTTCTCTGCATCCTCTACACATTCATACACGCATGGACCATTGTGTGTGTAGTTGGCATTCAGTAAACAATGAGTGATTGAGAGACACTCAGATCTAGTTACTTTTATCAGCATCAGGTCAATGCCTTTACATTTCCTGCTGCTTTAAGTTCTCACCCTCACTTCTTTAGCCCTCAGAAATAATTCTTATTTGACTAAAAATTTAGGAGCTGTTACATTGGGTATACTACCCACTGGATATATCCCTCTATTTCTAAATCATTTAATATAATATGGTATAACATGTATGTATTTAATATGTAGATATGTACTTCCTCTTAAAGATGAAACCTTTCCTCCCTTTAATAACCAGTTTCTTTATTCTAATAGCTTTGCATTTCAAGTGTTTCTGGGTCTTCTACCATAGGATACCTTTTTCTCACTTATTTTTCCTTTATGACAGGGTTCCACTATGCAGCCCATGGTAGCTTTGACCTCATAATCCTCCAACCAAGATTCCTAAGTGCTAGGGTGGCAGGAAGGGGCCACCTTCACCTTTTCCCTCTTAAATCTAAAAGCTCTTCTTCATTCAACCTTCTCAGAAAGCAGACTGTTTTTTAATTATCTGTGACATAGTCTTTCCCCCTTCACTGTAAAATAATCTCAGAAACTGGGTGACACATCTCCAAGAAAATAAATTATTTTTCTCAGTGCCGGAGGCTGGCAGACTGAAATCAAGGGGTGGTGATGGATGAGGGCCCTTCTGCTACATCATCTCACTGTGGCGTTCATAACCTGGCAAGGTGGCATGCATGGGAGGTTGAGGCAAGAATGCTGCAGAGGTTTAAGTGGCCTCTCTAGCAGCCCACTGGCAGTGCAACCAATTCCTCTCATGAAAACAGCCTTAATTACTCCTGAACGACCATTCGGGTACTGCTGCATTGAGCATCACCTTGCCAGCTTAGGCTTATTTGCCAAATCGCTTTCTCAGGCCTAAAAATTCTAAATCTTCTATTGCTAATCTTACTTTCATTGCATTTTCTTTGACCACCTAATATAAGAGGGAGCTGTACTTTGCTCTATGTCTCTCTGTCCACTAATTTATTGATTTGCAGCTTCTGTCACCTTTTCGACGGAAGACCCCACTTGCTGCCTGCTAACTATCCTTGGGCAGCATCCAGTGATCTTTCTCGTCTAATGTGGCCTCCTCCTTTCCTTTCAGGCCTCCCCCTAAGTGAAGATCAACCTCATTTATCATTTCAACCTTCCCAAACTTTATGTGCTCCTTCTGATTAATTTCCTCATCACCTGACCTGGAGTTTATAAGATTTTCCAAATGATCCATTCAGCATCATAATCCTAGCATGTACAATACCAAATATCATAGTTTCATATACACCAGTCCTTCAGTGGATACTATTCAAATGAATAAGTCATATCCTGATAGTCATTTAGATCACTTTGAGTCTATTTGTCGCTGTTGCCAAAATCTGATGGATTAAAACCATCACCATTTTAATATATTTCACATATTCATGTTCAGGGATTTGGGCAGGGCTCAGCTGTGCTTGTGACAAATGCTAAAGACCCTCAGTGTGATTCAGGGTCAGTCTCAGCAATGATACTGCAAAGCTGGGGTTTATTGGTTCTAGCTCCCATACCACCTAACTGGTCTCTCTCCTGAGACAGTCACAGGGAGTCAGACTTCTGATCCACTGCCTGTATTCTCTGAGGAATGTGTTCTGGATGCAGGAAATGGCCATCATGCTGTAGTTCCTGGCTTGGTAGTTAGAAGCTGTGACTTCTGCTGTGTGGTTGTTGAGTAGTGCCACCACAGAGCAGCCCAGACTCACAGGGTAGAGGGCGCCATCCTGATTGGGGGGGTGTGAAAGTTGGACTCTGTGACCATTTTGAGCCATCATACTCACTAGCTACGCTTTGCATCTGCTTTTTGCTCGTGATGGACAAAGCCTAAAGCCACAGCTGCAGTAACTTTAAGTCAACTTATGAGCCCCTCTGTTGTTCTCTCTGCAATTCCCTCTTTATTTTTCCTTTTCCTTATATATTCCTCCTATGATGAAAAAACTATAGTAGTTTGTGGACTAACTTACTTCCTACAACTTACTTCCCTGCCATAACCTCTATCCCAACTCTTCCTCTGCCCTCTTTGTATTACCTGGTGTCTGTACCAAGTGCAGTAAAACCTTCTAGAACAGATGTTTGCTGCTGCCTCTCTCCTGCTAACCTACTCCTCAGGATACTGTCTCATCCTCTCCTCTTGGTGTGGAATGTGTTTCCAGAAATCCCTATCTTTTGAAATCCTCTTTATCCTTCAATATTAAATTCAAATCAGACCCCCTGTGAGCCTATCCTTGATCCCTCTAAATGGCAGGGCACCCTCCTTTCACTCCCAAGGCACTCCTACTTCTTTTAAAGCTAAGAGCCTGGGTTATTTTATTTATACAAGCTTGCCTTGTTTTAGAGAGTGTTTTGTTCATAGTCTCGAAAGTGTCTCAGTTTCTAGCCTCATCCTTTTATTCTGCCTGGTATTGCTCAGTTTATGTTCTGTTTGACTCACGCTTGGTCACAGGTTTTGCAGATAGATTATCCTTAAATTTATACTGTCATTAGAATGATTGGCAGAAATTTGAGCCATAATGCTAATGAGATTGTTGGTAAAAGGCAAAGGCTATAGCCTTATTAAGCAGGGTCTCAGGGATGATAAAGAGTGATGGAGTCACTGCATGTCAACTCTTGATTTGCACAAGCAGGCCAAGACAGACCTACAAGGAAAGCCCCAACAATGATCACAGAGATTAATCACCATTGTTTGGGAGGGGTATGACCTAGAATTGCTTAAACTTGGATTGCCTCAGATTTAGTTCATTTGTTCACACACACCCGTACACACACATACATACACACACACATCTATACTCATACACACAGAGTCTATAATATGTTCATGCCCACACCCCCATATACACACCACACACACACATATGCACACAATTATATACATACATAGATATATACACTATACATATACGTACACCCATATAAAATGCACTGATATTATACACCCCACACACTTCAATAAATGCACTAATACACAGACACATCCACACCCATATACACAATCTATTCTATACACACACAGCATACACAACACACCATTGCACACATATCTATACTATTCACACATACCCACTTACCACACACACCAATATATACACACTAGTACACACATACACACATATATATACACATAATACACACACAACCCATACCTATACACACACATTCACACCCATATACACACAATCTGTACTACACATAGGCTCAAGCATGCACAACTACAACAGAACAATACACTAACCTACACATCCTCATATACCCCCACACCCTTACACACACAGAGCCTTACATGCATGTACAAACACCTCCTCCCCACACTCTCTGAAGCATAATCTACTATCAAGGGTATCTGTTTGTATTTTGTAACATCCCTGGTCTTCACTTATTACAACCTTAAAAGTTAGTGATGGGACTTTTACAAAATGCTATCCACCATGAAATAAAGTATGAACTGATGTTCACGGGACCATTTTTTTGTGTGTTGTAGGTACGTTTCACACATGAGGAGAAGGTGAACTTCGTAGAAGACACGGTCCCAGAGTCAGAGACCCCTTGCCCACCATGAAGGGAGCCTGCATCCTTGCATGGCTGTTCTCAAGCCTGGGAGTGTGGAGACTTGCCCGCCCTGAGTCCCAGGATCCAGCCCAGTGCCAGAGGGCTGAGCATCCTGTAGTATCCTACAAAGGTAAGTAAGAAATAAAGGAAAAGAAATAAGACCATAGTGTGAATTCAAATCCCATGTTTAACACAGGACAATAGAAGATGGGTGCTCCTTTTTGTTCTGTGACTTCACCTGGTAATTGTTTGGGATGAAGACAAACATGAAGATTCTTCCACATAAGAATCTCAGGTCTAGCAGCAGTGTTTACTCATGAAGGATCCCAGATGGGATTGCTGTGGATGCTAACTGTGTTATTGAACCATCTTCATTGAACAGGTGCTTCAAGGCTCACAGACATTCAAGTCAGAGGCTGAAACTATGGCACTGGCACTGCGGTAAACAGTAAAAAGACAGGAAAGAAAACAAATTCTTCTTTGGCATTTCCTGACGAAGTCAAGGTCTTGCCGTGACAGGTGCCGTGGTCCTCATAAACATCACGATGCAGTGGAATCCATTATTGTCTGCAGTGCCTTCTCAGTGTAGTGGCATTCATTAGTTCATAGGCATATTCACTCTTCTGTTTTCTACCAAAAGTTATGTAAGGTCTTTATGGCCTGAACACTTGAACAATTCACAGTGAGGAAAACAAAACAAAACAAAACAAAATACCATGTGTCTGTCCTCAGAATGCCACTATTATCAGTCAAAATCAGACATCGAATGTCATTAACTCATTTCAACAGCCTCTCGTTAGTTTTGAAGCTTTGTGTCACTGACTTCATATGTTGATATGAAATATGAACAATTATCTAAGAACCACATTTGCCAATTTTCACACTATTTGTTTTCTCATTTTTACCTCTTAATTGTCTCACATTTAGCAAATTATATTGACCCGAATTCAGGATATTATATAATTTTATCTGTGCTATTTCAGTCTGTAGCTGTTAATGAAAAAGACTTTATGATATTATTGTTATACCAGACATGGAGAAGCGGCCAAATAAAACTTATCCTAAAACCATGAAGTGAATGGTCTCATGAAGATGTGAATTCTGTAGGGTCAACCAAGGATCTATCTGAATTCCAAACAGTACAGTTTTCTTGGGTAGTTCTTGGATGTTTTGAAATCTCTTACTGCTTTATTTTTTCATTTCCCATTTTAAAGAAATGGAATCACTCACCCAGTGTGGCCTCTGCTCACTGCATCCTGGTTGTGTCATTTGAGTTGTCCTGTGTCCATGAAAACCTGTAATTCTGAAGTGACATGAGTCCTGAGGAGAATCACACTCGCATCTTTTTTGACTTCCCAGTAGCTGTGGACTCTCACTGTGAAGCAGTGTCCAGTGTCCAGTGGGCAGTTGGCAGTTATTTGTTGGGAGCAAGCCCATTTTCTCTTTTTATCACCTTTTCTTCATCCCATAGTTAGAACATTTCCATATAAACCAACAGTCCTCTGCCTGCTCTCTGAACACCACTGCAGTGCAGCTGGGAGAGGAAGGCTGAGCTGAGTTTCCCTGCTGCTGCCAGCTTTTGTTCTGTTTTGTATTTACTCTGGTTAGTGGGTTCCCTGGCATCTGGCGGTTCATCCATTTGTCATTCCAGGGGATCTGAGAAGTTATATTTTCTGTTGTTTTTCTTTCTCTGCTGACCAGCTTGATATCACTACATGCATTTTAATGTAATTGATAGACTTTAATTGATGGCCACATTTTTGCTCCTGTGGATGTTGGAATGATACCCTTGCAGCCTAGGACAGAATCTTAAAGTTGGGTCCTGAGCTCAGTGATAACTTTCAGTCTCTTGGATGCAAGATGCTGCTGTTCTATTACCTGCTTCCTCATGCCACTCTGGGAATGGTACTTCCTGGCTGCTTGGAGCACTAGCGGTTAGGGCTCCTTAATGGACAGCACTAAGGAAAAGACGTATGAACATACGCCCTATGGATGTCTGCTACTTCCCGGTCATCTCTAGGCTCTAGGAACTTAAAATCTGCCACCTTACCCTCTGTTTCTTTTTCCTGTGCACAGAAATTTTGTGCCACTGCAGGGCAACACTTAATTGTTTTCCTTTTACATATTGCATGCCCTGCCACTCCACCACTCTGGTGCGCGCCCCACCACTCCATCATAGAGTGCTCACCTCATCACTCCATCATACAGTGCTCACCCCATCACTCCATCATACAGTGCTCACCCCATCGCTCATCATACAGTGCTCACCTCATCACTCCATCATACAGTGCTCACCCCACCACTCCATCATACAGTGCTCACCCCATCACTCCATCATACAGTGCTCACCCCATCACTCCATCATACAGTGCTCACCCCATCACTCCATCATACAGTGCTCACCCCATCACTCCATCATACAGTGCTCACCCCATCACTCCATCATACAGTGCTCACCCCATCACTCCATCATACAGTGCTCACCCCATCACTCCATCATACAGTGCTCACCCCATCACTCCATCATACAGTGCTCACCCCATCACTCCATCATACAGTGCTCACCCCATCACTCCATCATACAGTGCTCACCCCATCACTCCATCATACAGTGCTCACCCCATCACTCCATCATACAGTGCTCACCCCATCACTCCATCATACAGTGCTCACCCCATCACTCCATCATACAGTGCTCACCCCATCACTCCATCATACAGTGCTCACCCCATCACTCCATCATACAGTGCTCACCCCATCACTCCATCATACAGTGCTCACCCCATCACTCCATCATACAGTGCTCACCCCACCACCGCATCACTGCACTCTGCATTACAATGAATGCTCCACCACTCTGTCTTTTCCACAGTAGCAGCTCCATTTTACCCATAGTTCCTGGGAGTCATTGAAAACCCTTTAAGATGATAGTTCATTCTTTTCTTTGGTCTTCAGGTTATGTATCTCACTGAGGAATTTAAGCCAAATTACCATTGCAAAGTCCCAGAAAGCCATCTCATTCTATGTAGTTGTGCCAGCATACCTAAGCTCAGTTTATTCAAGTTCCTAGGTTTTGCTTTTGATTCTCATGGAGTTAAAGTAAAATCAATGGAATGAGAGTTGTCCACAGAAATCTAACTTTTGTATATGTTCTCTGTTCTGGATTCCTGCTCTACATTTTTATAAAGCTTTCCTTATACTTCGTGGTATATTGTTCTTTCATATCTCAAGCAGAGATGCAGACACATACAAACACAATCAAACCTGGCAATCCTTGATAAAAGGTGGTGTGTGTATAATTCCATACAATGTAGAAAACCCTGGCATCAGAACATCCACATTTACACCATTGTTCCTCTTGTGGTGCAGTTCTCTGCTATGTGCTCTAGTCCTATTAAAATCCCATTGCTGAGAGATGCATTGGAAGATTTTCCATGAATTTGGAATTCTACGTTAAAGGGTGAAAATGCCTGGGTGCATTGGATGTACATTTCAGATTCTGCCTGATGGATGTATCATTGCCTGAGGATCTGTTTCCTGCAGCCTTGCCAGCGGGGTATGTGTGCTCTCAGGGTTTGTGAGTTGAGCCCACCCCACAGCTGACAAATGACACGTCAGACTATTGTAGATGATCTTTTACCCAGTCCTAGGCAAGCACTCCATCACTGGGTTATTTCCCCAACTCTTAGTTGTCTATTTTTTGTTTTGGGTGAACATGTAACAAACATTTAATGCGTGCCTGTTGCCACCAACATTGGTTCTAAACTTTGACTCAACAGCAGCCAAGGTCCAATCCCTTAGAACCACAGGGCCTTCACATCACACTCTGTTAGGTGTCTGTGTCATGTACATGGAACCCATGAGAGGAACATGGAAGTGAGGAAGCCACCGCTTCAGAACCATTTATGGAAGAAGGTTTCTAGGAAAAGCTTATGGCAGGGCCAAGTCCCAGATGGCTGTCAGCAGTTTATGAGCAGTTTACAAAGGGGAGATATTCCAAAGAAAGGAAGTGAACAAGAGCTAAGTGATGCAGTGGGGGACGCTGCACCACCGGTCCTAGCAAACACACAGTACAGAATGAGTCACATACTCTAGGTTAAAGGTGAGGAGGAGAAGTGGCTAAGGCTATCATAGATAGGGAGGGCAGAGATGTGCATGGCATGGTGACGTACCTGAAGATTAGCCTCCACTGGGAGGAAGGAAATGTAGCCATCAGGCAAGATCATTCTGGGGCTGCTGCTGTGATCAAAGGCAGCAAGAAGGAGAAACTGAGCTCCAGATGGTAACACAAATATAGGAAAGAATAATTGGCTGTGGTTCTAGAACTTGGAGAGAGCTATAGTTGATGGCATAATAGATAGAGAACCAAATAGACTGGGAAGCTCTGTTGATATCTAGGATCTTGGATCTTTACTCCAAGTATGGTCAACAATGGAGACAGAATGAGAGATATAATACCTGTTGACTGAGAAGCCTGTGATTCCCCAGAAGGAAGGATCTAGCTGAGAGCAAGACACTCCAGATCTCAGTGATAGATTCTTTTATAGACAGGGCTGGTCATGGAAGTCTGATAACATAGTATCCAAGTTCAGCATGGGTGAGAAGGCAGAGGGGGCACCTTGCCCTTATTGTCCTGGGTCTTTCAGTGTTGGAAGTTTGTGCATTTGAAGAGCTGAACAGTTGATAAGTGTTCCAGCAGTTCTCATAGTATTGGTGTATCTGGGTATTGCTTTCCTAGGGCTGTTGCAAAGTGACCACCAACTGGGTAATTTCATGTTGTCTTCTCTCACAATGTGTTAGCCAGAAGTCCACTGTGACAATGTGAATGAGGCCATACTCTCTGTGATGACTCTAGAGAAGACTTCATTTCCTGCACTCAGCAGCAGTTTGTGACCTGCGTTGGTTTGCAGTTGCATTGCTCAGTCTCCTAGGCATATACTCTCCACAATCTCCCTGTGTATCTTTCTGTCTTCTCTTGCTGTACCATGTCTCGTTGTATTAGGGATAACTCAAATCCATCACCTGGTCTCAAACAGTTCATCTGGAAAAAGCAATTTTCAAAGTGTGTCACATCTGTAGGAGCCTTTGTTTAACACTCAAGTAGATGGTGTGGCCCCAGCACAGCCCATT